TGATAGAGAACTGGCCTACGGTTGTGCCATACAGGAGGGACTAGGATGGTTGGGTGTTGACCAAGAGGCTGTCGTTGAAGATTGCTAGTGTCGATGTCTTGATATTCGCCGGCTAAAACGCGTTCCATTACGTGAGCTGAACGCTGGCGGAAGGCTATGTCATCCTCGATGTGTTGGAGTTCTATGAAGGGGATCCTTTGAAGAGGTTGATTTGCCCGCAAGACTACCCGAAGAAATAGAGACTTCGTAAACTTTTGCGAGAGATACCCGGCGTTAGGAAGATGACGGTGTTGATCCGGTAAAGCAACGTCGACTTGAAGACTATCTGCTCGAAGGATACGCATAGGACGGGGGACGACAAGGTTAGCCCACGGGTGCTCTTAAAAAGTAAATCGTAATAGGTAAACTTGAAAGAGCATATAAAAGATCTCCAGTAAAGACTTGTCCTGTAATGGTCAGTGACCACTGCTACTCGAGTAAAGGAATATTTTAAAATTACGATAATGGATTAACTATTTCTTTCGCCTAAAATTCTAGTGAATACTCTACGATATATATACTCCAGCTTTAGTAACACAATGTTCGATCATTTCCTATAAAGTTAGTTGTTCTGCCTATCATTTCCATTCGAAAAAAATAGAGCACCAACATTTAAAAAACAACTTTTACACCTCTGCCATTCGGTAATATGTGAAAATTGCTATCTATGTGTTACGGTTTATTTAGAGGTTCAAATTATTTTATTTATATAGTAATCTTGCCGCATATCTTTGCCAGTCTTAAAGAAGTCTTGTTTGTTTATTGCTTCACCTTCTTAGTTCTACATAATAACCAGCAGTGTTTTGGCAGATGGAACAAATGCATTTTTCTGAGGTTCAAGCAAAGTCGCCCTGGAAGGCAGCAATACTTGACTGAGTGTTCCAAAACTGCTCGCTTTAGTCGATAAAAGGATAAAAGATTATCTGAACAACGGAAAATCTTCATCAAACAGAATGTTTGAGATTAAATTATGGTATCAAAAACTCTCTAATCTAAAATATCTGACTAGACTTTAAAATTTGCATATAAAAATAAATTATTGCTTTACATCAGGCTGC